GCTTGTTATGCATCAGAGAGTTGGACAATGACTAGGGAGGACAGAAGGAGAATTGATGCCTTTGAGCTGTGGTGCAGGAGAAGAGTATTGAATGTACCACGGACTGCAAAGGAAACAAACAGATTTATCCTAGAGAGGGTTAAACCAGGCTACTCCTTGGAGGCAAGGATTCTGTGGCTTCATCTGACATACTTTGGACATTTTGTAAGGAGAGACAGCTCCTTGGAGAGGGACATCATGCTTGGTAGGGTGGAGGGACAGCGTAGGAGGGGAAGACCCTCTATGAAGTGGATTGATTCGGTGACTGGGGTAATCGGGATGGGTTTGTCAGAGGCAGTGCAATTGGCACACGATAGAGCAGGGTTTAGGGCTGTTGTATATAGCATCGCTATGAGTCGCAAACGACTCGACGGCACATAACAACAACAACAACAAATTCAGATGAATCAAAATTATTTGTCAATACCAAGAACTAATAGAAGTACTTCATACTTCTTTGGCCTATCATCATTATAATATTATAGTAGAAATATTTTATAGCTACATAAAATTTCATGAGACAAATTTTATGATAGTCTACTTTTAAGTAGTGAATTTCTCAAAATCAAATGTTAGTTAAAACCTGTAATTTTTTAATGATCTCAAAATTTATCAACTTTCATTTATTTATATGACTAATTACCTCAACATCAGTTTCTCTATTCTTTTCTTGATTGTATGATTTTTCTCTAGAATTGCCTAGAGATGGTGATTACCCCCCTCCACTATATTACCATTACCCATTCAAAGGCTGATTGCAATATTATGCAAAGGAGACTTTACCAAAAATAGTTTAAAGACAGAAAGGACACTAAATAATTTATCCCAAATCACTCCAGATGTGGGTAGATTTCTTTCAAATGCCAAATGTATGGCTTTGAATGTCCTATCACTATATATTTAGTGGGTTGATGAGCTATATTTTAATATAAATTGTGAATAATTTGATGTGCTCTTCAACTTCATTTCTAATTGCAAAGTAGAAAAGTTTTAATTATCCGTTGTAGCAAAGATATGAACAATAGAGGAAAACAAAATCCACAGATATTTCTACACTTTAAAAACTAATTTTTTTACAGTAACTTTTCTCTTTCCTTTGCTTTAATTTGCCCTCTTTTTGTCTTTAAGAGTAATGAAGTAAATACAAATCTGTGACAGATATACAGTACTCAAGGTTTTATATTTGATAAAAAAGAATTGAATTTTAAAAGTCAGTACCTACTATATTTGCACCTCTATAAAGACATAGAAATGTGAAATGTTGAATGAATAGAGCATAATTATGATTTCACTGTATATTTTCATCATGTAATAGCATAGAAATTATTAAGTATTCGAAGGAATCACTGAATATTCAGAATAAATATATGTTTTATACATAGTTTTGTCTTTCTTAAAAGGATGAAATTTCCATGAGTCTGAGTCTTTGCTCTAGTTTTTTTTTTTACCTGTTAGTGCTTCTGTTATTTAGCAATAGGGAGTCTAAATGTCAACATAACACTAAATACTGATAAAGGGTTTAAAGAATTTAAGAGAAATATAAAGTTGAACATATTCTTTTTTCCTATTCAAACTAGATGGTTACTGAGAGTTATAAACATATCAGACTAAAGTTTAATAAAACGAATTTCCCAAGTGGATTTGAAATGCTTTTTCATATTTTATACTAAATAACTTACTGCCATTGAGGCAGAAATGACCCACAGCTGACCCTCCTGTATGTGCCAAGGCTGTAAATTGCACAGAAGGAGACTAAGTGTCCTTCCCCAAGGAATAATTGATAGATTTAAGCTCTAAAGAAGCTCAGCCTTTGGTTTAACAGTGTGACTCTCTTTAGACATCTTAGTCTATAGAATTTGTATTCTCTTTTTCTCAAAGCTCTCATCATAGACATTACTGTGATGAGACCATGTTGAGTATATATATTACATCTAAAGCTCATCATGATGTCTTCAGAAACTAGGCCATGCTTGGCTTGGTAATCATTCTAAGTTGCATGGTAAAATAAGAATGAATGGATGGCTGTTTTGCTTAGCACCAGAAATTCTTGATTCTAGTTATAGTCTTGCTAACCTTCCCATAACTTACTCCCAATTAATGGATTCCCAATTCCAAGATAAAGAGTTCTAGGATCTATTGACAAATTCGTGTTTTAAATCACAGTCTTTTACTAAATACATTCATCAGTGATAGTAAATCCAACTGTTCTCAGTGTTCAGAATTCTACTGTTTGTCTGCTTATCTCCTCGACCTCCTCATTGCTGCTTCTGTTTCCTCACCATTATTTCAGTTATTCTTAACCCCTATCCATCTACTGTTAACTGCCACTTCCTCAAATAATTTATCTCATTCCTATCCATTGAATCAGTACTGACACTTAACAGTCGCTCTAATGAATTTTCAGAGACTAAACCAAATGGGGGGTGGGAGACTGCTCATCTTTTTCTTAAGGAGATACTAGTGGATTTATTTTTTTTTTTTACCTCTAGAGAAGTATCTCCTTGGGATAAACTGCAAAACCCTTTGTGGACTACCCCACTAGAAATAATTTCACCCAAATAAAAGAAAATTTGAAAAGAAAAGCAACTTATTAGAGTTTTACTACAGTTGAACAAGGCAATCACATTGTAGCAATGCACATGTTGGAAGGGCAATGAAGATTTTTTTTACCACAATTTGATATGATTTAACGTGGTGATTTAGCAGAAAAATACATATTTTTTTTATATGTAACTTCAATCTAGGATTTTGGTTCTGTTGTTGAGTCTTCATTGACTATTTTTTCTCCATAAAATGTCTGGGCAAGTCCTACTATTACCATTGTTGTTACAAGCTTTTTAAGTTTATTCTGATTCTCAATCTTTTCTAACTGCATCATCAAATAATTCTTTCATGCTTTCTGTCCAACTGAACTTGTATAACTGAGAATTTGCTCATGGATTTAGTCAAACTGAATTAAATGCATGGTTTATAAAATTATTTCAACTTTGGCATAACAGAAATAGTAAAATGAATACTTATAAGAAAGCAATCATCAAGACAAAAATATCATGAAAATAATGAGTTCATAAGAAAGAAAGCTATGTATTAATTTTATTCTGATGGCTTAAATTATGAAAGATCTCTGGTCACCTGATAGTTAAAGAGTTGTGCTACTAACCCAAAGACAGACAGCTTTAGTCTATCAGAAATGGATCCATATGTTGTAAAGAGAAACATGGATAATCTCCTTCCATGGGATTTACAGATTCTTTTTTTTTTTTTCAAAGTGGAACAAAAAGCAAATTTGTTGTCTTGGGGAGAAGGAGTGATGGGGAGGGCTCTTCACCTTCCCCAACATTTTATACAGACTGGAAGCTGGGCATCAATAGAAAAGGCAGTAGGTGGGGGCACATGCCCCTCTCTGTACAATATAGAAGAATCTGATATAGATACTTTGTATAAAAGCGACTTTTCCTCAATTGTGTCCTTTTGCTGGTCAGCTGGGTTGGGAGGGCAATGGGGGACAGAGAAGCTGGGGTAGGAGGCCGGGACACAGGCCACCCTGTGGTCCCCGTCCTCTGGCTGTACCCTTGCAGGGTCACTTTGGATCCTTGGTTGGAGCGTAGCAGAGCTCCAGAGGCCGAGACACCTTCCAGAATTTCTCATTCACTAGCTCCAGGGTCAGTGAGCCATTCAGCGTCTAGGGAAGGGATGGAAAAGAGAGGCAAAGATGAGTAAAGTTGGAAAGACGGTGTAGGAAATGAAAAGCAGAAGGTGAGCAAGGACAGAGAGAAAAAGAAAGAGATGGAGGGGAAAGCAGGGGGACACAGTGGCATGCCAGGGAAGAAAAAGAAGCGATAAGGGAGATGGAAATGGAGAGAAGAGGGCTGGTGAGTTAGGTCAGGGTATGGTTCTGTCTACCCCTCTCCCCCAACACAACTCTCACCGTGAAAGCTCCACCACCAGGGGCGATGTAGATGGTGTACTGCTTCTCACTGACACCCTCCAGACTGGGCAAAGCAGGCTCCTCAGGGCCGTCACTGCCTCCGGCACCCCCGCCCTCCCCGCCACCCCCATCAGGTCCTCCAGCGTCAGAGGGAGCCCCTCCAGGGCCTCCTGGCTCCCCTGCCTCTTGCTGCTGCCTCCGCTCAAGGGCAATGCGCAGGGCCAGGTACTTGGAGAGATGGTACGCTGTGGCATTCCCAGTTGTCTTCACATACCTAATCTGGCAGTATTCTCCCTTTTCCACGAGCAGGGGGTGGGGCCGGAACAGTAGCTCGATTTCTCCACCTGGCTCTGGGGGACTTGGAGCCCCAGGAGGGCTTGGGGGTCCGAGGGTTCCCCCTCCCAGAGTTCCTCCCCGGTCACCAGAGTCTTCAGAACCAGCACCCCCACCCACCCCGCCAGTGCCACCAACCCCTGTCCCTACACTGCTTCCCCCGGCACCCCCTCCACGGGGTCGCTTGGGAGCAGGGCCTGGGGCAGAGTCAGGGGCAGAGTCTGAGCTCACATCCTCTCCATCCCCTTCTCCCTCCCCAGGTTCTCCTTCCCCCCCCCACTCATCGTTGTGGTCTGATCGGACCCAGGCATCGGCCGCCTCACTCGCTGGGCCCTGTGCATGGCCTGCATGCGCAGACCCTCCTGGATGCTGGAGCTCAGTGCCTGCTGGTTGTGCAGGTGGCTGAGGCGGATGAGCACCCGGTCTTGGTGGGCTTCATATTCCTCCCGGCTGGGATAGATCTTTGAGATCAGGGCATCAAAGTTAGGGTCTGGCCGAAGAGACCTCTTGGATACCAGCTTCTTGCGACAGGTGGGGCACTCCTTGTTTCCGCTCTTGAGGGCTGTGACGATGCAGTCGGAGCAGAATCGGTGGAGGCACTCCTTGGTGGTCATTGTATTCTTCAGCATGTCCAGGCAGATGGGACACATGAGTTCTGAGTGCAGCGACCGAGGGGAAACGGCAATCTCTGTGCCATCCATGATGGCTTCCTGCGGAGTCCGGTGCAGCCCATAGAGGCTGAGTTCCCACGTTTTACTGGCATTCTGGGCATTCGCAGGCGTCGTCATGGTGACCAGACACAGCTCTCCCACCAGAGCCCAGCCGGCTCCAGCCGTCCAGGCGTCCGGGCAGCTGTCTCGCCTCTCCCTGGGCCCCGACTCCCCGGCTAAAGTCGCTCCGTCGCCAGCCCCTGCTCAGACAGCAGCTCCCGCCAGCGCCACTGCCATGGCATGGGCGCAGGGTCCTTGGGATTTACAAATTCTTAAAAGTTGGTGGAGGATCAGTTATGAGTTGGTTTTAACTCTGTAGAAATGCATTTGAGAATTATAAGAACTTTGAAAGATGACAGAACATGAAACAAAACAAAAAAGGATAAGCTAATTGAAAGCATGTCATATATAACCTAGTAGGGACCATTATTTTTGAACAATAAGCAGCATACATGGGCTGTATGTCATACTCTAACACAACACACCATAAAAGTGGGATCCTCCTTTAAATACTGTTTTGAACACAGAAAGAAATATATGTAGAGATTTCAATTAATCATTGCAGCTGTGCTAACATGGCAAACAATTGATTAATGTGTACTCAGTAATAATGTACCACAAATGCATGAAATTCAACTTTTATGATTAAAATATAAATAATTCAAAAGATCTTAACTTTCAAATTTCCAAGAAGACTGTAGTTAATAATATTGTGTTGCTACTTAGTGAGAACAAATCCATAACAGACCCTCCTTTGGCCTCACACAATTGCGTAAGAGAAGATTGCCCATCTTTCTACCACGGAACAGCTGGTTGATTTAGACCACATACCATTGTGTTGGCAGCAAAATTGCTTACACTAACCCACCAGAGCTCACCTCATAACATGGTGGTGGTTTTTGTTGACAGGCATCATCCAGTCAGGTATGATTCATAGAGATGCTAGGAAAAAATAGACCTGGATCCTGTTCTGACCTGTGCCAGCCTCATCTTCTCTAACACAATTTAGCCCACTGATGCAGTCTCTGGGTCAACTTGGTTGGGAGTCTTCTACTCTATTTCTCATCCTCAATATTTACAAGCATAGTGTTTCTACCCAATTAATAGGCTCTCCTAACAATATGCCAATACTATGAGAGATGAAGCTTTGCCATCTTTGCCTCAAGTAGTGCTCATACTGTACTTTTCCTAACATATATCTGCTTGTTCTTCTGGCAGTCTATGGGATATCTATAAGCAAGAATGGTTACCTATGGTGGACAGTGTTTGGTGGAGCTTTCCAACTAAAACAAGCTTGGAAGCGGGAGTGACATCCACTTTCAAAACAGCTTGCCTCTGGAAACTCTATGAACTTAGAGAAACGAACAAAGTTATACAAATGCTCAGATCTTTTGTTTATAGGGTCGCTATGAGTCATCTATGACTCGTCAGTATTTAACAACAACAACAACATATTTTGTTTAGGAAACTCTCATGGCTTAGTGGTAAGGAGTTTTGCAGTCTATGGGATACCCAACACTCTTCACCAGCATCATAACTCAAAGGCATTTCTTCTTCTTCTATTATTCTTTTTTAACTGTTCAGCTCTGAGATGTATGGCAAGTGATTGACAAGACCACTGCCTGAATCAGGCTTGTCTTACTCTTCAAACTGTCATCATTGCTTTTAAGTAGTTTGGGGCGGTCCTTAACAGCAGACTTACCCAATAGAATATATCTCCAATTCTCCTGATCCGTGGTACCAAGGGTGTTGATTGTTCAACAAAAGAAAGGTAAAGTCATTGACTGTTCTAATCTTTTCCCCATCTATATAATGGTCCCCTACTCTGTGAATTTTCATTTTTCTGACATTGAAATGCGATGTATATATTTAAGACAGCCATTTTTGATCTTCTGAAACAAATATTTCAAGTCCTCCTGACTTTTAGCAAACAATGCTAATTTGCGTAATGTAGGTTGTTGATGGATCTTCCTCCAAACCTGATACCACATTTTTCTTCACAGAGTCTAGCTTCTCAAATAATTTGATCGGAGTATAGATTGGATATATATGGTGAAGGGACACAATTCTGATACACAGATTCCTTTATTTTTAACTATGAAATGTTCCTCTGCTCTGTTAGCACAACAGCTTCTTCTTTAAGGTATAAGTTTCTCATGAGCACAATTAAGTGTTCTTGGATTCCCATTTTGCTCACTGTTAGCCATAATTTGTTATGATCCACAGAATCAACTGCCTGCGTTCAAGTCACCAATTGATTAGCTAGCAGCTGAACACTTTTACTAATATACCACAAGAACTTCTTAAATTACGACAGATAAAACATAGGTGCCCCTTAAATACTAATTTTAGATAAATAATCAATTACTTGGGTAATAATAATACTAAAATATCATTCTCTAAAATCTAACTTTCACTAAGCATCCTGTACTTTTTTAAGTATAATTTCCATTTTCTTTTCTGATGAATTTATAAAACTGAAATGAGTTTATATAATAGAAATAGAATTTTTTTCATTTTATATTCAGATGAAGTTTGTTTTGTTTTTTTGTGTCGCCCGCCCCCCGAGCCTTTAAGGAATCAAATCCTTACATGGACTTCCGTGGGGCAGCACCTGCAGGTCTAAGTCTGGATGGAGGTGTTCTGTCCTTTCAAGGCTTCATGAGAACAGATCCTTACCACCTTGCTATGAATGGCATAATTCACACAATAGTGCAGTTTTACATAGAGCCTTGGCAGTACATATGTGTCAAAGACACTGACTTTGGAAATATCCCTGAGGGCAGCTCCCTCTACTATATTTTGAATTATGAACTTCTTAATTGCTTTGTGTTTGAGCAGGGGGTAGGCACTGTTCATTCAGCAAATAGGCTGCGTGTGGCCATGGCCCTTTTTGGCACAACCATTGTACTATTCTTTGTCATCTTGAAAGTGAAGACCTAAGAGCTCATCCTGTATTTTTACGTAATAA